TAAACCTTCATTAAACAAAGGAAAATGAAAGACGTCAGATATAAAATTTGAAAATAGCAACATGAACTGCTCGAATAATTGTGTTTATGTACTAATTAAAAGAATGAAATCAAAACAGAAGATAAGTTGGTGACCTTTTTTTCTTTTTCTTTTCCGTATATCTTAGTCGGTGTTTATCTGAATATAATTATGAGGGTTCTTTGTTCCAGCTACATCTTGGACTGCCGAATTTTTAAGTGAAGAGATCACAAACACGTATGTCTACAACAAAAGTTCACCAATAATATAGAAGAAAAAACAACAGAAAGACGCGTTTCTGTTTCATACAATTCAAGGTTGACCTTGAAAACAAAATTTGTGGATTTTTAATCAGAATTTAACACGTAGATCGTACAGAAAGTCAATCAATATTCTCTTTTGGTGTTTTTGCTTCTTGTCATTTTTTCCTGGCATAGTCACGTAATTGTCTTCACGATGAAGGAATTTGTGAACTTTTCTCTTGACAAATTGACTTTTACTTGCGTGTTCCTTGAGTTGCATTCATTCGTTTCCCACTTCATTCAATGTCATCATAATATTTCTAACTTCCAATACAAGTAGAAACAAGTAAATTGTTTCCTGCGGGGAACATTTTAAATGATATAAAGATAATTCATTTAACTATTTTCAACATTGTTTGGGGAGAGGGATAAATAAACGTTTGCATCAGGAATATAGTTGACAATAATCGATCAATATAGAAGAAGGTCTTTGGTGATGGTGACCGTTGAAGACCGGAGAAGGTCGAACATAAAACAATTATTTATTTTAAGAACATTATTAAATAGGCCTACCATTTTATGAATAATTCCGAGCAAAAAAAGTAAACACACAAGTTTACGCATAAAATATCTCTATTTATTAGATGCCACTACTTATATTTTAATCTTGTAGATTTTCAGTATAAACAATTTATTGTTTGTAAAATTTGAGATAGATATTAAAGAAACATTGATAATTTTCAAACACATCATTCAAGTGTTGCCACCTTAAACGGTAAATAATAATAGAAAATTAGAAATATCACGTAATAGTGTTTTGTTCTTAATGAGGTGCAATTCGGACTAATTCCCTAGAGGTAAATCCGTAACGTACCGGCAAACGGTATTTAGCTAGGTTTTCGAAAAGGTCAATTAACCAATCATGTACGGTTTACAGTTCACATGCTCCTCCATGTACCGAAAACAGGTCACGTGCTCCTCCATGCCTCAAAAGTTAAACGCGTACCAATACCCTGCGGTCTCCAGACCGCAGGGAATAATAAAGTTCCAAAGATGGTTTCAAGTCCCGTAAATACGTTTTTTTTAATACATGCAAACATCGTATAGTAAAATTAATTTTAAAAAGAAAAATTAAATTAAACACAATATACTTCTGAAAAAAAAATTGTTATTATTAATTATTGATTTTAAGTTTTTTTATTAACTTCTGTAACATAATTGTTTACCATGGATGTCTTTGTTTTAACATGCAACCAGTTATCAACAGACTTATTAATAAAACGTTTTTGTTTTTCAATATTTGTTAACAAACACTATAATTATAATATAATAACAAGAATATGAATTACTACAAACAATATATAGAACATAAATAACAAATATTTTATTACCCTTCAGCCTAATTGGCCGAGTCGCTGAAAAACAACCTTTTCAATATCAAGTCGTATAAACTATGACGCCATAATTATGTTGGTGACCAGATGTTAATTACAAGTTACGCAGTACAAAAATCTGGAAACAAAGTGATCCCAAAGTGAACAAATCATCGATTTTATAACGGAGGAAAATATTCACGGAAGTTTTCTTTCGAGTCAAATTTATATGAAAACAAGCCTGGGAGTTTTGACTAGAAGGCAAGAATGAGAATAGTGTGATTAATTCAAATTATGAAAAATCAAGAATGACTTTTCAGTTAAAAAACAAGAATAAATATCAACAAGGTAAAGGCAACGTTCACAGGACGCAGCCCCCCGACACACCCAAGCAGGGCACCCAGAAGAGACCAAACATAAAAGTTTTCTTTTTTCTTTTGTGTTTGACAGCACAGTATTTTTTCTCATAGACTGTTCTGTTGAGATGTCACCTATTCAAATGATAAGGGGAAATTATAATGTTATTTCATCTAAACAGTTCGATAAAAATGGTCGGTAATTTGAGCAATTAATCAAAGTTTGTATCGAACAAAAAAGAAATACGTTTTCGTTCACACATAAAGACGCATGAAAACATATAGACAAACCAATGATTCATATTTTTTTGAAATGGCTCATATATATTTTGCTGAAAATAAAATGTTCACTTTGTTAATTTTGATTTGGTCATTTGGATATAATGTACATTGAGTGTAATATAAGTATGTTTGTGTGCTATGAAACTATACTCTTTGATAGTTGTCCGATACATGACCTGCTATGTAATTACACGATCGTCTGATTTGACAAAATGCATTATGGCTTTGACCTAAGATTCCAGTTTGTAATGTTCAATTGATGAACATGTTTGGTATTTGAGATAAGGCATTATATACAGTTTCATTATTTTAGCGAATCATAGTAATTTGCAATTTTAACAAGGTGCTTTTCTGATCATAGTTTAATGAGAAAAATGACATATATATTTACTTGCAACCAGTAAAATATGCGAAATCGATCTTATCACTTAAGTAAATTGTTTGACTACATTTTTTAATGCGATAACGGCAAATTGTTCTACTGAATAAAAAACCGAATCAGGTTGATTTTAATTTCTTCAAGCAGTTTTTTAAAATAAAGATTCCATATACTCCCACATGTGTTATTTCCTCGGCTGTTTATGCCTTTGGGCTAACTTTGCAATATGCTTGTTTTTATTACAGTGGACAATCACTTATAGCAGGTAACCAGTCCCAAGTAACGTCACTTCCATATCCGTTCTTCCTGTTCTTTGCAAACCTACTGGTGTTCAATGTTAACAAAAAAACCTTGCTTCATCTTCCAAAGTGTGCAACTAAAACAGTTTGCCTGATATAAAACTGCGCCAAGACCTTCTGTCGAGGCATCACAATTAACAATAAAAGGTTTGGTAAAATCAGCATATGCTAAAACAGGGGGTTTGGATAGTTTATCAATAATACTATCAAAAGCTGTTTGTTGAGCATCTCCCCATATCCATGGAGTTTTGGTCTTCTTACTCTTCTTAGAAGCTTTATTAGTTGGATGTCCTACAAGAAGATCATTTAAAGGTTTAACTATTTTTGCATAATCAGGAACAAAACGTCTGTAGTACCCTGAAAATCCAAGAAAAGTTCTTAATGTTTTAACATTATGAGGAACAGGCCATGTTTTCAAAGGTTCTGTTTTAGAAGGATCAGTATGAATACCTTCTGCTGAAATATCATAACCAAGATAAGTAACACGTGTACTAAAAAATTCACACTTGGACGGTTTCAGCTTTAAACCATGTTTTTCCAAACGCTCGAAAACTGCTTCCAAACGAGAAATATGTTCTTCAAAAGTTCTGGAAAAAATAAGGACATCATCTAAAAATATCAAACATTCTTTAAGGTTTAACTCCCCCATACAGTTTTCCATCAACCGCTGAAAAGTACTGGGAGCATTGGTAAGACCAAATCCCATTCTTTTACATTCATAAAAACCTAAAGGACCTACACTAAAAGCTGTCTTTTCTCGATCTTCTTCAGCAATTTCCACCTGGTAATAACCACTGCGTAAATCTAATTTAGAATAATATTTTGTATTAACTAAAGAATCCAATAAATCATCAACTCTAGGTAATGTGTATGAGTCTTTGACAGTACGCTTGTTCAGCTGTCTGAAATCAATACAAAAACGCAAAGAATTATCTTTTTTCCTAACTAAAACAACATTACTACAATAAGGTGACTGGCTTTCTGTTATAGCACCACATTCTACCATTTCCTTCAAATGTTGCCTTACTTCTTCATACATAGCAGGTGGGATTCTGCGATAAGGTAACTTGAATGGTTTGTCATCTGTAAGAGTAATATGGTGTTTGATTAAATCAGTTTTACCAATATCAGTTGAAGATTTTGAAAATATATGCTCCCATTTGCCAATAACTTGCTGCAATCTCAAAAATTGCTCATCAGAGAGGTTTTCTTTGTTGACCTTAATACCTAAATCCTGTAAAACTTGAAAAGATTTATTAGAATTTGTTTCAGGTTTTGGATCTGATACTTCAGGTTTCCATGAATCCATAACCTTAACTTCTGAAAGAGAACAAAATACAGAATTAGGTTTGATTTTAATAACCTTGGCTGTCATATTACAAACTCTGACAGGAATCCTAGATGTAGTCCCAGCATTATCAAGGGAAACAACTCTTGGACATATATTTAAACCTGAAAGTTGAGGTTTCTCAATTGCTTCAGTAATAGCAGTACAAACACCATCTTTTTTCCTCACTAAACCTGAAATAGTGGTAACCTGAAAAGGCTGAACAACAATTGGTGTTTTGCTTGTAGATTTCACTGAAATAGAATTGACACATTTCATAGCATCTACAGCTATTTTAAAAGGATCTGTTGAAGAAACATTTTCATCAACACTACAAAAACGTAAAACATTGGTACCAATAACACCAGGTACTGACTGTCGGTACTCTGTATCAGGAACAACTAAAATAGGAATAAAAACACAATTTTCTAAAATATCAGGAATAAAAACATCACCCTCAATATAACCTTTGTATGGGATCTTACTACCACTGGCACCTACAATATCTAATTTAAAATCAGAAATATCTAATAATTCAGGTTTTGGTTCCAAACTGTTGTAGAAAGACTCTGAAATCAAAGTAACCATTGAACCTGTATCAACTAAAACTTTGGTGTCTACACCACAAATTCTTGCTGTGCCCTCATTAGCCTCACCAACCAACCTATCAGATAAAATAGATTTGGAGCTCTTGTTGCAGCTGACTTCCTCAGTGTGCCCCACCACAGAGGAGTCTAAACTTTTGGGTCAACAGTTTTAGTGTTGTCAGACCTGTTAAAAGAAGAATTGTCAGAATTATTTGACCTAACATTAACATTCTGTTGATGACCATAGTTTCTGTTCTGTTGTTGACCTCTACCTCTAAAGTTTCCTCTGTTGTAACCTGCAAAAGAATTTCTTTGTTTGTTAAACCTTGAAAAATTTCCTCTATTGTAACCTGAAAAAGACTGTCTATTATAACCAGAAAAAGAATTACTATTATTTGATGAATCTTGCTTCTTGCTGTCTTTGATGTCTTTTTCAAGAGACTGCATCTTGGTCATCAAAGTGTCCATCTTCTTTGAAAGATCTTCAACCATTTTATCCCTAGAATCTGAAATAGGTTGACATTGAACTTTTGTTAATTTGTCTGATGTTGAAAGTTCTTGTTCTGCAGCTCTAACTTCTCGCAATAACCTGTTATAATCTGAAATAGCATCATACTTGTGACTAGTTAATAATTTGAGCTTTTCATCATAAAGACCTGTCCAAAATTTAGATTTCAACATATCATTTCTAGATGAGTGGCTGACATGACCTCTTTCAACTGCAACCTGCAATAAAGTTTCTAATCTACAACCATATGAAGTCACATTCTCTGAGGGCTTCTGAGATTCACTATAAAAAGATTGCATGACAGATTCATTTGTTGAAACATTTCCAAACAAAGTATCAAGTTTATTTAAAATATCAGATAAAGTTGCCTTTTCTCCCAAAGGTATAAGAACCTGTCTGGCTGACCCTCGTAATGATTTACGAATAACCTGTAAACAAATATTTTCTGTTAATGAAGAATCTGATAAGAGACATTTAGTCTCATATCTCCAAACATCATAAGTTACATCCCCTTTCAAAGGAGGCACTTCACCTGAAAAGAATGGTAATTTTACATCAACTTTTGGCATCTGTAATGCAGAAGCATCAAAAGGATTCTGAAATGAAGTTTTAACAATAGGTGTACTGGTAGGACCTGGACCTTTCAAAACATTATACTCATCTTTAGTAAGAACCACATAATCACCAGACTTCTTCAAAGCTTCTAAAACTTGAGAAATTTGCATATCAGTTAAAGGATCACTGTCTGGTTTGTCTGCACCTGAAATAAAACTCTTAATTTTCTCTGTAAGTTTTCCACCTGTAGCCATAGTAAAACACTACAAATATAAACACTGAAAATAGAACACAATATATAAACACAAAACCAAACCACGGGTACAGCTGCTGGACTGAAATTTCAAATAATGTGATAAATAAATTCAAATTGACCTGGCCACCATCAAAGCATACAGACTATAGGGAATTTCTCAAAATAGCCTATAAACCCTGAAATTTTAATCACATATACATATAATCACAATATATCACAACACTGACCCAAAACTGTGTCCTCTGAAACAACTGAAATAAAAATACAACACAAATATAATATGCAAATTCCTGTTTAGTATTAGTTACCCGCACTCCAGAGCATGATTGGCTCATTTTTGCTGGGGTTTACATATTGTGACGGCAGAGAAAGGGAAAGCGACAGAAATATCATACTCAGATGTTCGTTCATTGGTTTATTTTTGCCGGGGTTTCATATTGTGACAACAGGGAACGTGTTTTTATGTTTGACTATGATACAAAAGAGAAAGAACACCAAAACACTCGGTAATCTGATTAATACTCGGGGGCTACGCCCCCTCGTACAAATCAGATAACCTCGTGTTTCGGTGCTCTTTCTATTACAAAACCTCAAAATTTAAAAATGTTGCGCTCGGTTTGACTGAGCTTGTTCATAGACAGTCCTGATAAGTGCAAACTACTGCTCACGCCCCTTAACACCAGCTTAAGCAGAACTCAACATTTAAACATGAAAATGGTAACATTTTGAATTTAGAAACACCTGCAGATATGTTCATACGGTGGATATCATGAAACCTTTTATGTAAAACGGTCGTGGAATTCAAATAAAAAAGCGACGTATTATCCCCAAAAATATGATAAATAAGATCAATAAGGAAAGGCGGCGTTCAATGGACGCAACCCCCATATGACCCAGCAGAGAAGAATGTGTGTGCCCTAAATCAGAAAAAATAGACGGAACTAAATAAAATTTAATTTTAAATGCTATAAACTAATAAAACTACACTCAGTATTCTCATTACAAATCTTGGGTTATCGTTAAGTAAAACCTCTCAGCATGAACTTGCGTTTATCGTGGGTTTTTAATGGGCAAACATAGTAATTGATGATCGCTCATTCCAATATATTTGCATAGAGGGTACTTTATCAAAGAAATTTGAATATCTTTGTTTGAATAAATATAATAATGTCTTAATACCAATATTTAACCAATTGATTCCAATTTAGAAGACATTTGCAGAAATGCTATTAAATTATAAAAAGGAACAGAATTGATTCTTATGTAGGGAAGCAAATTTAGGTGTCCATTAAAGAAAATCCATCGACGTCCCAAGGCCTTAAATTTTAAAAATATAAAAAAAACCCTTTAAATGGAAAAAATTTCAAAGGATAACAAACAAATATACTCAGGATTAAATTGAAAATTGATTTTTTGTGCCACTCGTTGCCGAATTTGAGTGAATAGCTTTTATTACAGCGCTTTTCATTTTTGGGTCAATTTCACAATATAATTTATTCTGAAAAAAGGGGTTTGGAATTGAGTAAAAATTGCACATAAGTTATTTTTCCATACGTACATAAATAATCACACAAATCTCAGAAAAATATTTTAGTCGCATCATGTCAAAAAATCTGAATTGAGTATGTATAATACAGGAAATAATAAAAAAGATATATGATCTACTTTATTGCTTTCAAAACACCCTTGTGTTATGTTATAGTCGTTTCTATTCCACAAAACCCTGCAAATGATCTTTTCAGACTTAAACACTTTGATACCAGTACTTTTAAGAGTAGAAAATTAAGTCGCGCTCAAGCACGGGACGTCAGGAATATTACACTTTTTCATTATCCCTCATTTACAGACTTTTTCAAACCGAGTCTTCAATTTTCAAGTAATTTTGCTGTTTTTAATGCTTCTGAGGGATCTCTTTTCCAGATATTCATAACCTCTAATCCCTTTTTATACGCCCGTTTGAAAAACGGGTCGTATTATAGTTTCCCCCATCGCGGGTGAGTAGGCGGGCAGCGTCCATTTTTTGTCCGGAGCATATCTCTTACACGCTTTGAGGAATTGTAATTAAACTTCATAGAAATGTTTATCACTAAGAGAAAAAGCGTCGTGCACATGACAAAGTTCAAAGTTCAAGGTCACACATAGAGGTCATTGAAAATCGCTTGTCCGTAGCAAATCTACAAGCATAGAGGGATTTCAATATGATTGGCACAAATGTTCACCTTTGTGGGGCAAAATTTAGGCCCCTGCGCCCAAGGTCAAAGTCACACATAGGGGTCAAAATTCAGATAGAAAATGAAAACATTAAGCCATCATTTATTTAGGGATTGTAACACAAATGGTCATTACCATGACTACGGGTTTGAAACATGTACTTTCTGCTTTTCACTATTTTATGCAAGGTCAAGGTCACTTAAAGTGATAAAATAGAGAATTTTCCCAGAGCATATCTCCGATTCTCATGAAACTTTATAGAAATGTTCACCACTGTGAGAGACAGTGTCATGCGCTAAAGCCAGGTCTCCAGGTCAAGCTCACACTATTGTGAAGCTTAATATTGCATACATAACCCAGGTCTCTGCTGCCAAAGTCATGGTCTGACATATAGAGAGGTAAGTTTCTGCAAGAGCACATTAGTCATCATTTATTGATGGATTATGACACAAGTGATAACTATCATGAGTACAAGTATGACACATGTAATTCAGGTTGATATTTGCAAGGTCAAGGTCACTTGACATAAAATATCTAGATATTGTCCGGATAATGCCAAAAGCATATCCTCTATATGTGAATCTATAATGCCCACATCCTTAACAAGAGTTTTTGTGACAAGCGTATTTTGCGACAATGTTGCCCATGTTTAAATTCCATTTAATTTAGTTTCGCCCATCGCACACGTACTTTCTTTACTTGTGGACCATATGCCGCTATTCATGGAATGGCCCATATATGTCACATTGAAGGTTCAATGATAACCGCCGTATAACAACATCTGCGTTTTTTTTTCAAAATTTTACGAGTTCATGTTAAATGTTGAATACTGCTTAAGGGGCGTGGGCGGTAAGTTGCAATTACCACTACCGTCCATATACAGGCTCAAACAAGCCGAACCTGCAACATTTTAAATTTTGTCTTGTTTGGCTTCATTTAGGGATTCTGTTTTCTCTATATTAGAAGGTAGTAAATTAATAATAAAAAAACTGAGCTTAATTACATTTTTGACCACTTCTCATTCATCCTAGCAACAGTTGAAGCAATCTTCAAATTGAAGCTTTATTCGATCATATATTAAAATAAAAAATATGTCAAAAGGCAAAGAGATCTAGCAACACGACAGTTTTAACCGCACGACTAACGTCATTTACAGTTTGGTCCCAAATATTGAAATATTTGAAGCCTTTTCGGATAGAAAAGCTGTTATAAGAATATTCATTAAGTGCTAACTTCTGTTACAATTATGCACTTTTAAAAAACAGTTACATTAAAAAAATCGAATCGAGTAGGTATTTAAATGTGTGCAAATAAAGTTATAGATATTTATAAGAGAAGTTAAAACAAGTTTAAATGGTTTTAATGTGTGCCCTCTTCTTCCCCCACCCTGTCGAATGATTGGACCTTTAATGATAAATCCTGTCGGATTAATAATAGGCATACGTTCAATTACACTATATCCGTCTGGTTAAAGTGTAAATTACTTTATTGATAACATTTATCTCCTGCTTAATACTCTTATACTCGTAATTTGATTATGATAATGTAAACTAGTTTTAGTTATAACACTCATCCTCTGTTTTAATGCTCGTTATTTGCTAAATTTATAGATGTTATTCAACAGTTTAGTCCCGATAAAATATGAAACACAAGATCAACAAAGAAGGGCATGGCGTTCACGGAACGGAACCCGCACACGACCCAACAACACCGGACCTGTGTAGTATAGTAAGATTTCTTATAGGCCTTTTCTAAAGATGTACATGTGCAATACTCCATTCAGGATGTTATCTAAAATGCCTGTTGACATCAATATGTTTAATAAGCTACATAATGACAAGACAAACAACAATATTTTGTTTTACGGAGCTTATATGGACCACTATGTTTGATACGCGTTAATTTATTTGTATAGAAAATAATTCTTTGTAGTGTAAACATGTTTTGCTTGATAACAAATAAAACAAAATACTTTTTATTGTCAGTATGTAATTAAATAGTTTTGATTGAAATGTAACAATTTCATTCATCCAAATATTTGTTACATTGAACAATTCATTTTTCTGCAGATGTTTATACACATATTGGACCGGAATAGATACTGGCAAGAGAAAGTTGTATTTTTATCATTAAACCGTTTGATATTATTAATTTAACATCAGAAGAATAAAAATCATTTATTTATTCATCTGATTGCAGGTTTGTGTAGGTGGACAACATTAATTATCATTTCCCATAAGGTTTTGTTATAAGCCAGTAAATAGTTTAGTTGAATAGGAAAACAAATTGACCTCCATTGCTTTCTGCATTTAAAATGAAATATTATACAGGTCATCACAATAGTGACTATGATTATCAGATATTTTAGTTCTTGTCGAAGGTTTTGGGAACAAGACCGCCTCTTTTGGTTTAAATATTATATCAGAAGATGAGATCAATAAGCGGTTGCATGATTTAAATATATGTTGATATATCTAGGCAATTTAGTTGTTTAATAATAAAGAAAGAGTGTATCACTTATTTTATCTAATGGTACTTCAATAGATCGCATAAGGTAAAGACACCTGTAATAGCTATATTAAGGAACCTTATCAAGCGTTATATCATATTATTAAATATTCTATTTACCATTTTCGTTTTCAAGTGTTCAAAGAAAGTGTCCATCAAATTTATAAGCATTTTTATGTAAATAACCGGTCATAACCCCTCAAACCAAATCCCCCGAATGATGGTTAAGTAAAAATTACAGCTTTTAATTACCATGTACGTGTCTGTTCTGTTTGAAATATATATCCTGATACTGTTGTCATAATGTATTGATTTCAGACAATGAAGTTAAAGTTATCCAAGATAACTGAAACTTCAAAAAAAAAATGATAAAAATAGATGTAAATAAACTGTTATAGGACTATTTTCAACACGAACAATATATGATTTGATGGCGTCAGGGAGGATAGCTAATGACGTCCTTCTTAAAAATTTAGTAAAATGACTAACATAAAAATGTCACAGAATAAAAAGAGAAATTGTACGATAAAATAATATTTCACTGATAAGCAACACCTCTATGGAAA